GTGTCCGTGTTAAGTGTATGGACTAGTTGTGAGATACGCTTCCACTACACAACGCGTCGTTGCCAAACGTGACGCACTCAGTTTACCAGCCTAGGGTGGTCTATGACTGACCAAAAGCGATGGAGAGGGATACTAGGGGGGTTATTTCGTTTTGACCGTCTAAAGTCTCACCGGAACATAACACCGGTCGGAATCCCGTGTGGACACGTTAAATTAGTACGACAGATATACGTAGAACTATACGGTGTGGACACTCCACCCGTACCTAATAGAGCCGTGTTCCTCTTCACCGAGGTGATAGTGTCTAAAAAAGTCTAAACACTCTGTTATAAACTCATTTCTTACCAATAAAACACATATATCTTTTACAAAATCTACGAAAACTCAAGTAGGAGTACTTCTTATACCCGTCGTTTTTGTGTTTGCTACACCACGTAAATATAAAAAACAAGTCACATCAACTATTTTTTCCGGGTATTGGATAAACGTATTGTTCGAACTTTATATGGAAGTATAAAAGGGAATATTCGTTAGACGCCGAAGACAAAATTCTTACTCAACGACAGGTGAAAAACATATGTTTATTTAACTTTCGGGACTTTCGGGCCGTCGGGACAGTCACTTTTTTTACCAACCATGTGGGGAATAGATTGAAATTGATATAGGTCTAAATAAACCAACTCCAAATAAAACACAAATCCTAGTGACACACAAAGGGAAGAACGTATAGATTCATGACAACAAACGCATCAGAAAATTGTCAGTACTGACGGTCCTGAACGACGACCACCCGAGCGACCATAAGAGCATAAGAAAATCACGGGCACTTCATAGGAGAGCGGGAGCAGGGTTATATCTGTCGTGTGTCTACACGAGATGCTCCTCTACTTCACACATGTAACCAACAAACAATTACCACCTACATCAGGACAACTATAGACCGGTCTACCTTGTGCCAATCTCCTACTTATCTAATTACTTGAGTTGATATTCCGGTAAGAATATGCAAAAAACCGATTTACTTTAGGTTCCAGCCACACAGAAAAGGTTCTCCACAGAGTTCCACAAATAGGCATAATTAGTACTAACTCGAGTACTCCACCGAAAATACCTCTCCTTAAGGAATGAGTTTGTGAACACTAAATAAACCAACGTAAAGAAATTATCTCTCCTACCTCTCTTCAACTTTATTTTATCGTTCTTACACCAATCTCATACTACCATACAAGGGTACGAAATCATAAGTAAGTTGATCGACAATGACACCCAAGGTTAAGCAGGAAGCATTCCTAACCTGAAGACGTGATAGAACTTACATCGCTACAGTAGCTAAGAAGCAGGTTAATCGCGCGTAGAGTACATATTGGTCCCTATACTAGTGATTCGAGGCACGTCAACCACGACTCACACAGATTTCTGTAGAGTCAGTATACTAGCTAACTTACCTCTCGCCAATTGTTTACTTTAGGTTTCACCAGCAAAGTCACTCTAACTAAAGCTTAATCAAAAGTTTGGGATATATTCCATTATACTTTAAGAATTAGCTGAGGGCAATTTCAAAATGGACAATGGGCCGCAGTTGGGCCCCGGGCCGTAGTTTGGACACCCGTGGTTTAGAACATAATAATCATTGTCAATGAAGGCTGCAATACCACAATATTCTAAGTGTCAAATCCAGACAAGGGAAAAAACTTTGTAGAAAGCTACTTTCAAACATGATGACTCCAGGAAAACGTTATATATCAAATTAGCAAAGCACGTATGCGTTATCAAAGGCGACAGGCAGAGGTCAGAGGGAGAGCAGGCTGATATGAACCCGACGCTGGGTCGGGATGGAGAGAGGAGACCTCAGCCGTGTCCTAATAGATTGTCTGGTGTCCTGTACTGACATTTAAATGTATTTCCATAAACCTAGCAGATCAAAATATGAGAGAGGCTACATTTATCAATAAGCTATCCATCTGCAACAGCTCATCCCAGAAGACAGTCTCTGAGCTGCTGTGGACGATGAATAAAACGTCCGTGTCACTCCTTCATTTAGCAAAAACACAAGAGTGCATCACAGATCACTTACACTGTCATTCAGGGTCTTTTGACTATCTGTTACTGCAGTTTAACTGTGTTTAATAGCATTAAGTGTGCCTCTGATGGCTGCAGTAATATTGCAATATCGTATCAACATGTTGATGAAAAATTGTTGTTTCCCTTAAACGAGTTGTGCAGTAATTACATTAACCTATATTTAGTATTTATTAGATGTATAGGTATTTATTTGATCTCAAATCCTATCTGTCATCATAGTGTGCCAATGGTCGATAACCTCGGGTGTTGCATATTTGAATGAGTATTTTGCCTGTTTTATACTGAGCCTGTGGACCATTGACTGTAAATAATAGATGTAACAATCCAATGTGAGCTGATGTATATGTCATCAGAGAAGATATAAAGGCTTGAGTTTGCCCCTTCATTCAGAAGACTGTAATATAAATCAGTGTGTTGATGATGTGACTTTCAATAGTGGACTGACAGATAGTACCGTGCTTGTCCTAAAGGCAGGTAAATGTATAGTTGATGACATATGTTATGTAAAATCAACTTAGAGGATTAATAGATAACACAAATCAGACAGGGATGTTTTTGTTTTGGATAATCCAGCAAATCAAATATCTGAAAAATTAAAGTACTTCATATAAAAATCCAATATTGCCATAAAACAGTCACGCTCATTGATTTGCAGCATTGCCACAGTAGCCTTATACACACAGGTAAATTAAAAGCGTAGGTATCACTATGTGAAATGTGCAAGAGAAAGCTCTGACTGTAGAAAAATGTATACATTCTCAACATAATGTATACATTTTGTTATATTGCCCACCCCTAATGTATACAAAACCACTGGTGGAGGGAATCGGCTTGTTTCCCTTTTTGACAGGAAAATCATCTCACAATCCACAGTGGGGCTGCATGATATCGGACAAAAATGAACATATTCAATACTCTTTGGGATTCTTAAAAGCTCAAGGTCGGAGATGAGAAGTGTAAATAAATGTTTCATTATCAAACTGTGGCAGGCCTCCCTAGGCAAGTAATAGAGAAAAGTGGATTAGTCATGGTAAATAAGAGCTGTGTTTATTAGATTTTTGCATCGAGCTGCACAAAAGTTGTAGCATAACATCTTTAAGTGAATTTACCGAGAGTGCACGTTCTGCAATCTGACTATTGAACACACCACAGTGTCAATGCAGAGGTTTATCATACTGTAATTCAGGACAGGCAATCATTTTCATGCTTATCATTATACTCTTTTAAAAATGACTGGACGGAGAGTGGTCGCTCACCCAGGAGGAAAGATGTCAGCAGCGGGAGGAAGGTGACGGGGAGAGCAGCAGGTCAACTGCAAGGACACCGCTCTGTAAAACTTGTTGAAGTGTCACAGGAAGTCCATTTTCCACTCCAGTTACTGCTGCTGATTGGACTTTGGAGTTAGACCTACCTGTGACCAATTAGCAGTCCGTGCACCGCCTGTTTGACCTGCTACTCTCCCGGAGACCTGGACGGCTCTGAAAAGATGGACTGGCCTCTACGAACACATCTCTATCCCACAGTGTTCGTTCATAGGTCAGTGACAGCTTCTTTTAATGATAGCGAGCATGCAACCTTGATGGTTCCACCTCTAGAGAAAGCTCACTCTCCCCTTCTAGCCAATACTTGACCCGATGAGACTCAGGGTCAGCCCTTTCTTTGCTTTCTCTATATTTTTTAAAAGGTGGTACCTTTTGAGCTGAAGAATGCCCTAGGCCAGGGGTCACCAACCTTTTTGTCACCGAGGGCTACTTCAAGGGTACTGAGTAATACGAAGGGCTACTTGTTTGATACAAACTTCCTGAATAACATAATTGCACGGTTCACCTTTAATGATAATATTATTATTAATAATAATCAGAATACATATTAATTTACTGTATGTGAAGGACTGTCTGATCACATGTTAATGTTAATTATTCCTCACAATAATTATTAACAATGATTTACCATTGCTATAGCAACCCCATTGTTTTGTTATGAAAATGTATCTATATTTATACACATTCTCGCGAGATCTATCAGGGGTCGTTGTAATGCTGCGTTCACACCGGACGTGACTTCGCTCTAATCGCTTGAGTTTCACCGCTGCTGCCAGCTGTGTTTACTCGCATCATTCAAACAAGACGCGCTGGTTCGGGAGCTACAACTACAACAAAATGAACATATTTTACCGTGATTAAATTGTAATACACGTTTCTAAATAATGCCGAAGTAACAACATACTGATATCGTTTAGTAAAAACCATGAATTAATGCTTGACAAGTCTGCAGACAAGACGGCAGGCGAAAAACCTTTTAAAATGCTTGTTTTCTGAATGGAGATTGGGTCGACCAGGCTAAGCTAACGTTGTATATGTTCATTCCACACTCATAACAACGGCCTACAGACATAAATAAACCAGCGACTGTATTCGCCATGACACAGACAGTCTGTGGTTTGTACTTGTTTAACTTTTGTCCAGTTTCTGAACAGATATGAGGAGCTGCGATCTCTGTGTGCTAACTGCTAACAGCTAACGGCTGATGTTTTCCGGTTGAACGTCAGTGACGGCAGGCTGAGATCCTCACCGCTGATTGGCTTCCGCGAGAACGCTAAATACTAAATAGTAACTTTTTTCGGCTACAACCACTTGGTCCTTGACAAGTACTGTATGGTGGATAATGTTATCAAATTTTAACTCTTAACTTTAAATAGATCTATATCTACTTTTTACGTAATAAAAAGTTTATATAAAAAAGTCAAACAACATGTTAACACAGTATACGTCAGCAGGAGAATATTTGAAAATTAAGGAAAAAAATAAAAGTTGATGAACAATGACATTGGCACTACAGTGACAGCTGTAGTAGTTAAATAATCACATTTTTATAATGAATTAATAATGCTATATATTAAGAGAGAATCATAATTGTTATTACTTGGCCAGGTTCTTCAGGCCCTTGAGGTTGCCAGCGGTCACCTTGGAGATCTTGTTTCCATCCAGGTGGAGCTCAGAGAGAGAGTTGGGCAGACCTGGCAACCCACAAGACAAAGATTAACAAGACAAACAGAGAGATGACTTACAGTAAGTTACATTATGTAGTGACTTTGATGTATAAACAGGAAGTTGGAATTACATTTCAGCTCCAAGGGTTAGGGTTAGGGTTGGGGTTTCAGGTATAATTCAAGCAAACACACCAGATATGTTCCCTCCCCAAGACAGGCTAGTTTTGAATGACCCTGCAGTTTTGTTTTGTTTACGTTGAGCCTCTAGTTTTGCTGTGGACTTAAATCCACCATGCATTCTGTTGATATAAGGCTTTTAGTCGACCCTATATGGATACAATTTGTATTACACCAAACTAATTGTGGAAATAAAATTGAGCGCTTTACCTTTGGGGATCTCTGTGATTTCGGTGTCTGCAATGCGAATGTAAGAGACCCTCTTCAGGTCAGAAAAAGCATTGGCCTCGATTCCTGCACTCTTCAGAGGATTGGAACCGAGTTCTAAAACAAATGAATAGAAGAAAAACAATTGTGAGCAAAAAGAAGAGAAACAAGAGAGAACAGCTGGAACAGATCACGTCTATGAAGTTTATCCCTCTCCGGGTGTGTTACGGAAACAAAAAGTTGACTCATGAGTAAACAACGTCTTGGGCAACAGAATAGCTTGTCTTTGCAACGCAGCCTTTCTCCACGCCAGATTTCCTGATTGGTCAGGGATTAAAGTTATCTTATCATTGCATTTAATATGATTGAATCCACACTTTAGTTGAGCAATAACAAAATGAAACTGGTAATTTGTGAAACAAAAGGTTAGAGATGAGTTATCAAAGTGACAAGCGTAAAAAAAGAATTGAGGAGAAACACATTTTCTTACAAATCAACACATTAACAGGCTGCAGTGTCATCACTTCCAGACTGCTAGGTGTAAATCTTGTCTCAACATTGAAATGCCATGAGGCAAAATTCTCTTCTGGTCTCTTTCTTTCCAAAACAAAATCAATCAAATGTACTATTCACATGCAAGGATGCACTTGAACAATATACACAAAAAGCACTGTCTAAAATGACTGTTTTTATCCTTCACAGCTTTTAAAGGGCCCCAGTGTGCCACCCGAGGGAAATTTTTCACCATTTGACAGGGTACATTGTTTGCCCTGAAATATCTAAAGCACTGTCAAGTATATGTAGAGATGTAATACATTTGAGAATAATAAAAAAAAAAATGTTCTGTAGCACGCTGAACAACCCTTAAGGCTAAAAGGGAATCTTGTTTTGATGAAACTACTAGAAACTTGGCAGGGGAGTTTCCTTTTAAATTTAAACACTTGGTTCTATCTATGTAAATATTTCCACCACTTTCACTGAAGTGTATACGTGCTTAAAATCACAGACATACATCTGGGAATGTGACCAGCTGCTGAAGAATAACACTCTCACCTCTTGAAACGGTTTGCTATCCAAATAAATATCTGCAAAAATAATATTGTTTTTCTCATACCCATCACGATGACATGGGACATGCCCTGGAAGGTAGCCTTTTTGATCTTGGAGATCTCGTTCTCGTGGATGCGCAGCTCCTGCAGGCTCTTGGGCATGTTGGCGGGCATTTCCTTCAGGATGTTCTTAGACAGGTAGAGACGCTGCAGCTTGTGCAGAGGACTGAAAGCCTTGGGGTGGATGGTGCTGATTTTGTTGTTCACCAGGATCAGAGCCTTTAGGGAAGAAAACCAGGGCGATTAGATTCTAGTATATCTTTTTATTCTTGCTGCTTGGGGTTGTTGAGTTTTACCACTATCTCCAAAACTCTCCAGGGGAGTACAAACACTCTGGAATTTAAAAGGATGTTTTCAGTCTGTTCCTTGTTTGAATTCACAATGTTTACTGTTCCATTGTTATGGAATATGAACTGCATTTCGAAACGTTACACTTAAACGGCTTTTGATGTTTTGTCTTTTACTCAGAAACATTTCCTACTGCCAATGCACCGTGGGTCTGTAAAATATTCTGCAAAAAAGGACATTTTGAGCTAAGCTGCTGTCCTAAGATTGAGGGTCGAGTTCAAGTCGACTCCAGAGTTATCCCTAAAGCATTTTCAGAGGACTCTCACTCCTGCTGAAAAGCAGACACGAGGAAATGTGAAGTATGTGGTCCCTTCCCTTGAGAGGCCAGTTACATTACAGAGGAAACAGCCCTGGCCGTCAGACGGAGGTATTTATTGCAAGCAGGAAATTTCCTGAAGTTTGGAGGCGTTAGGGTGTAAGGCCAACGGGTGAATAGTTTCCATGCACCTGGTGACTGGGGGAGTGGAGGATATATGGAGGAGACGGAAAATAATTTGGGATGGGATTGGGAGGTGAAGTGCAGTCCATGTTTGTGAAATGAGCAATTGTTCCGGAAATATTTGACGACACGGTACACAAAACTGTTATTATGTAGTAAGAAATAAGTGGTGCCAGGCATTTCGAGAATAAAGTTGAAATGCAGAGAATAAAGTTAAACTGTTCAGTAAATGTATAATAAATGAATCTTGTGTAAAAGTTGGATGTTTGACATTTGACTCTACTCCCACATTTCAACTTTTTTCTCATGATGACAAAATCGGACATCATCAATCTGTTTTATTTCCCATTAGGCTTTGCCCTTTTACTCTTCCGTTAAGAACAACCTAATAAATTAATAATGACACATGTTTCCTCATGGGGATCATGAAGGTTAATATTGATAAAGGGTTGCAGTTTGGTTAAAGGTTACATACAAAAACCATTACATAACATTTGGACTGATACACAGACAGGAAGCTGTGCATGACAGTTCTCTTACATGTAGTCCTTTGAGGTTCTTGAAGTCATTCTCCTTGATCTCAGTGATCTTGTTGTTCTGAAGGTCCAGCATGGTGGTGTCAGATGGGATGTCCTCAGGGATGGCCTTCAGACCTGATGGTGAATATATTTACAGACATCAGAATGATTGAGAATGGGAAACTAAACTTGAGGTTTGTTGGTGACTTCACTCTGATTTCAACATAAAATGGATACTAAACAGCTACCTACTCATCTTTATGATCATGATTAGAGTATTTAGTGCTCTGTTTCATCAGTTTTAGAGTATTACCGAAATACTAGGGACGTATAGATCTGTAAATCATGTCCATTGTATATTAAAGGGTCTATATATATTTCATTTTCAATGTTTTAATTTGAGAATTGACACAATGTTCTGCCAAAGTTGGACCAGTTTCAGAGATTCATTTGAGAGATAGCTCTTATAGCTTTTCACATTAGTTTGAAATGAAAAGTTGTTGATTTTAAATATTTCGTGCACAAATAAATAACACAAGTACCATTCAAGACAAAATCTGATGAAATTCTTTGAGTGAGAGATTAGTTTTTGGCCTAAATCTGAGCAAAAACTAACTACCAAAGTTTCTTTCTGAACTTTACCTTAATTGTTGCTAATTAAATTATACATATTTAATGCTTTGTTTAAGTACTTTCTTACTTTTCTGGAACTTAACGCCCTTAGAGAATAAGAAACCTGGATGAGCAGAAAAATAGTTACTGAGTTCACAGTAGCGACACTTTGAAATAAGAAAGTCTGCTTTGTCAACGTAGCGTGCTCCATAAAATCTCGGGAGTCTAGGAAAGAATGGGTTTTATAATGACATTCCAAAGGGACCAAATAAGTATTTGATGTGCTCTAAGGCACAGATGGTGGAAATGGACCTTAAAACACATTTCCTTTGGAGTAAATAAGCGACTGCATACCTGGACACTGAGGTCAAGTCGAATCGTTTAGCTTGGACTTTATCGCGTAACGTCATGGCTAATGTGACGCAGAAAATGGCATCTGTAGTGAAGCCTGTTTGGTTGAGTGGATCGCTTTTAGAAAACATTGAAAGAAGACAGCTGGGAGTCACGGTGAATGGTCGTCTGCATCCGTGGTAACCCAAAAAATACACAGAGATTCATAATGGGCAGTTTACATTTCAGAGGAATAGGCGTAGAATAAACTGTTTAACAAAGAAGCTTACTTGTTCATCTCCAGTCCACATACGTACGTCTGGAGTCATTTTGTCTTAAAAGCTTGTGAAGACTTCTGCTCAGTCACCCAAACAGTACCTTCAGCTACGTTTGCTTTTCTGTCAGCCTTTCCAACTCGGCAGTAGATGACCCACAAACCATCACAGCTGTTTGTGGTCACCGCCATTATTGTAGCACCACACTGTCTACCTCTATACTTGCACACACTTTGTTTTCTATTGTTCCTCTCAAAGAAAGACTCAGCTTTTGATGCTCACATTTTCTTTGACTTTTCACCCGTTTTTTATCTGTATCTTGCGAACACCAAAACGATACAATTATTTTCGAAATGACATTCCAACATCAACTAACCCTAACCCTAACCCTAGCCCTGACCTACTCCCACCTAAAGATGTACTTCTAATACAAACCCTTGGTTATATAACACATACACAAATAACACTCTAACAACAATGAAATGAGCTGACTAGTGCAAATACATATTGTTGAGTGTCATGTCTCGGTCAGCATCTCACTTTTCAGCTGATAGCCACTTGGCTCGTGACCTTAAGTCTGGCACTAATTACTATAGTCACTATGAATCACTCTATTTGAAAAAATGTGATTAGGAAAACAAGTGATGATTGCTTTGGGCTGTACTCATTTAGCCATCTTGGAAACTTTTCTAGCATTAACGACAATGTTTATATAATGTCCTCTTCTTGTCTGGCGCTGTGTCCGGGAAAGACGAGTTAATGGCTGCATCACCAATGGCCTGCTTGTCTCATGGGATACGAGTACGTTTTGATTTATTACTACACATCTTCCATTATCACTCTTAAATCATGAGGCTGTTGATTGTGCTATTTGGTAAGTTTAAGACAACTGACATTAAGCAGTTGTGCTAGTCTGTGTATAATTAAAACCTCTTTCTAACAGAGTTGGCAAATATAAGCAAATCGGAACCTGAGGCTACATTTTCTACCCTGAATGTTTTAGCTGTCATACTGCCAGATGCAAACTAACTAACTAAAATCTACAAAGGCGAGAGGGTGCGTTGGGATGGTGAGCAGACGCTTCTGTCTTGCCCAGGCCTGTGTGTGTGTGCCCTAATATATACATATAACTTTGAATCCTGTGCGAGTGTGTGTGTTTGCGTGCGGGCCAGCAGGTCTGGGGAACAGATGCAGGCACGAAGCCAACAACGCCGATGCATGAGTTGAGAATAAAGCTCTGTGGAGAAAGTGCTGCTGCTGACAGGGGCCCGCTGGAGGACTGATGTAATGGAACCGGCCTTTTCCTTAACATCACTCTCTCCAACTGTCTGTCGCTCTGACTGTTGCGCCACCTGCCTAACTGAGTTTAACAGTCTCAACCCCGGCCCTTTTAGGCCTATTAATCCAGAAGGTTATGAGCTGGTTATGTCTGTCTACTCCTCTTTTTAGTTTGTTCATTTATCCATCTGTGTCACTCCCTCCTGTCCTCCATCTGCCTCCTTAAAGTCTGTGGCCCATCCTTTCCAAATTAAAGCAGAGCCAAAAGACACAACTGCAAAGCGAAGCACTTTTATACAATAATAAATGAGGTAAGGGACTTTTCTATGACAAAGTGTATAAGATGACTCAAGCTGAAGACAAACATAGTGGATAAGCCCCAAACAACAAAGATGACATTGAAGTAAATTGTTGTGATTGCGCTGAATTAAAAAGCCAACAAAGTCATTGTAGAGTTTCAACCTTGGTGAGTAAGTTTTACATTGGGAAATAAGCTTGTTAAAATTGGGGACTGTTCGGGACTTTCCAAATCCCCAATCTAACCTTCAATCACCAACAATGTTTAAAAAACTGTTTGGGCAAAAATGGGCAAATAATGTAATTGTTACAGGAAGTGAAATGTCTCACACCATCTGTTAGCATTTAAGTTGTCAACATCGGAGTCATGTTCTCTGGAGGACTTTGCAATTATGCGTGACATAACATACCTCCGGAATGATCCTGTGGCTTTGGGTGGACGGTGGAGCGATTTGCTATTTTTAAAACATTAATGTCACTCTGAATTATAAAAGTAAAACACAACTACTGCAGACACTGGTCTGACCTCATCCCATCCCATCCATTTAAGAGAGCTCATTGAAATCTTTATTGGAAATGGATGTGAACAAGAAGGTTGTTGCATTTCTCAACCATTATTTAAATAAAGTCACATAAGCTGTGTTTCCATTCAATTGTCAAGCTAAATCTAGGCCTGCTTTAGACAAGAAACTGAAAGAAGGCGTGTTGAGAAAATAGACTTGGCTGAAGGGCTATAAGGGGCTACGATTGATCAAGATGACTGATGTTTTGGAAAACACACAACCGTATGAACCTTCAGTTGGGGGTCCCGTTTCTTACCGAGGTCAGAGCACTGGATCACTCGCAGATGGCACTGGCATCTGAAGGGGCACTTTGGTCCTTCTGGCGAGGCACGGACTGAAGGACCCTGATGAGAGACATCTGTTACCTCGTCAGGCTGACCTGATCCCGCCTCGTCCTCCATCATGAAGTCTAAAAAGCCGGACTGGCGGAAGGGCAGGGCCCAGCAGGCGGTGACCAGGAGCAGAGAGAGACAGGCCGACCTCATGGCGCTGCGAGCAGGGAGCCTGAGAACGAGAGCACACAGTTCAAAGGTCTGGGTGGATACACTTTCAATCTAGTCTGTCTATGATTAGTTTGGAAAATACGATACTCTTCTTAACTGTTTGTTTCTCATTTATTGTTGAAGAAGAGGTTATCATTTTACTGGGCAGAGAGAAGGAGGACATTTATTGAAGTCCATAGAAGCAAAGGGCAGAGGTGAGAGGTGGAGGGCTGAGGTCTGGAAGGTTAAGCACTTGGGTGCAACAATTTTGTGAGGGTGGTCAAATAAGCGATTTAACTGGTCCTCTTAAGGCAAAGCAGATTAAGCGTGGGTTAGCGCAAACCAAAATGAGATAATTACACAATATTACTCTGTCCACAGGGACAAGCCCTAGAAGCACCAAATGAAAGTTAGTAAGAAATAGAAAGCAAAGAAAAAAAGATCTGTTTCACAAAGTAATATGGTCTGGGTTAAATTCTGGTCATGCCCATACCTATGGATAATGCCAATTGTTTTTAACTGTTATGTTATATTTCTGTATTCATCCCTCACTTTAAGCTAACTCTTTCAATCTTTTATAAAATTCATTGTATTTAATAGCTACCAACTTATCTTGACACCATAATACAATTTGTGAATGTCACTTCCTTTGGCAAAGGACATAGAAACCACACTGACTGATACATAACATCTGCATTGGCTGCCACTGTACACCACTGTGCTCCATTTTCTATCCAAAAGCAATGAATCACAGTAGTCATTTATTTGCCATTAAAGTCCTTAGCTTCTATTCTGCTGGTGGAGCCACTGGGAGAGTCCTGCTTCCTTTACATGTATGCTGTCTCCTATTTCTTAACACAGCCACAGACCAGTTGATACATCCACACACCCTCTGAAACTCAGTGTAGAGATCCACAAAACTCCCTGACCTTACACACACACACACACACACACACACGCACACGCACACGCACACGCACACACGCACGCGCGCACGCACGCACGCACGCACACACACACATGCACACACACACACACACACACACACACACACACAGACACAAGCGCAGCGTCTTAAAGACCCAGCAATCTGCTTGTCATACGTTTAGCCAAATTTGACTTCCCTCTTGGTGCCACAATAATTGAAGGGCGGACTTTACCCGCAGCTGCTAACAAATGATTTGGGAGAATCCGGTCTGCAACAGGCCTTGACCTGAAAATCATAACCAAGATGATGAAACTGATCCAAAACCATTAGTTGGCCAGAGCTGAAAGAGACTCTGGGCATGTTTATAAGGACTGTGTGCCTGGGTGAAAAGCTTGTGCTATTTTTTATCCCTTTCTGTCCTTTGAGCTAATATCTGCATATTTATCGGTGTGATTAAAGCAAACATATTTGGTTTTTAAGTGCATGAAATCAAGTGCACAAGTTCTGTGTGCATCTTTATATGTGTAAACTGTAGGAATGAGTAAAACTAATACATGTTAAGGGTTAAATATTTTTAAAAGTGTTCCAAAGTGTGCGTCTTTGGGGGGAAAAGCAAGAGAAAGAGATGTGCTGATGCAGTATATATTCAGGTTAGGGTCACATAGGGTCATGGGATCAAGGCTCAGAGGGACTCTCTACACAGGCTGTAATAATAGTTCCTGTCCACAAAACAGCCACCACGTTGACACACTGTACAGCTCAGTCTAGTGGTTACAGTGCTTGCATACAGTATGACAAAGCCTGGAATCACTTCCATTCAGAGGGGAGTTGTGTTGGATGGGATATCTCTGCCTTTTAATGTTTCTTTTTTCTACTCTTGTTCTGTTGCTATGAAGCGGAAAAAATAAAAAATCATTCAAAAAGGTGATTTCACAAGTCGGCACTAAGAGCCCAGAGTTGTGTCAGACAGTGTTTGAAGTGTAGATACAGTTTTCCATGCAAGCTTTAGCCAATTTATCCCATTTGGGAACATGAAGTACTTAGGGGGCGTTGAAACAAAGCTCCGGTCTGAACATACTGTAGACCCAGAGTACACGTTGTTCCAGTCTTCAGCAGACTGAGTAATCTTGGCTGTGTCAGGCTCTCTTATCGAAGCGCAGCCGAAAGCTCAATCAAACAAAAACCTTGTCTGCAGACTTGGCAGCCAACGTTATGGATTAAGGAATGCAAAACAATCCTGGGTAAAAAAGTGACTGTATATCCCTTTGATGGGTTGTTGTATCCTGCTTGGTTGCCAGATTCGTTTATTTTATAGTATAATACGTTAATTGCCAATTCTGGAAAGCATTTGAAATCAGTGTATCTCTTCTGATAAAAGTTACTAATAGAACTCTTCACATCTGGCACATCTTGCAGGTTGGAACATTCAGAATTATCTTCAAAGACGGGGTACCAGCTCTGCTTAAAGGAAGAGTAATGCACACAATATACCAGAGGTCTCACCCCTGGGTACTGAACCTTATCTCCCTGCTTTGACCAATGGCCAAAAGCACATAAATATGTACACGCACATGTGCATTTTCAAATGACCCTCCATGTGTGCTGCCATCAATCCATCAACCTCTGTCCATAAATGCTTCAGCCGCTTTTAATGTGACCCAGACAGGCAAAAGGATAACCGAACGAGAGTGATCTCAAGCTAAGCTCTATGGGCATTTAATGACTGCAGAATTACTGCAAAAACAAGAATTACTGCTACTCTGTGAGTCATAATCAGGACCAGGCCTTGTTCGTGATGAGATTAAAGCCAGACTCAGGGAAAGGGAGTACCGGTATATGGGAAAAAATGTTGGACAATATCTAACAATTTGTGAACACATCTTCAGAATAAACTATAGATGGTATTCATATAATTGAGTTAAGGGATTTAGAATTTGGAGATTGAGGGAATTGCTATGTATGAACATAAGAGTTGTGAATGAATTGGTACACGGTCAACCAAGGCGTGCCTGTAAACATGAAGGTCACTCTAATTCCAAACAGAGAACAAGGAGTTATAGTCAAATTACATTTTCTTTTCAAGACCTGAATTTCAAGGCCTTTAGCAGCTTTCACCTCTATGCATGAGACAACCTGCTGTGCCAAGGGCGTTGGATCTTTCATTTCACACACACCACACCTGGCCCTGCGGGACGGCCTGCTTTAAAATGATGCCCCCCTACCCCAGAAACACACATATATACACACCTAAAGAATCTACTGAGCACAAGACTCCTCACACCTGTGTCTGTGTGTGAGCATGCTAAAGCGAGGGCTGCCAACTCAGCATGCTGGGACATGACTTGACCTTGCTACACACTTCATCTCTCCAGGATCAGCACTTATAATCCCCTTGAAGAAGATGTCTTTGAAATCGATAAGGGGAATACATTTTATCCCATAACAGAGCAATCCTTATGCAAAGCTGGAAGTCTAACATTGATGTTACAATTGTTGTGCCCTGCAGCCTAGAATAAACATGATCTGACTTTTTGTTACCATTTCCTACATTTTACATATTGAGATGAAACTTTAATATATTTGTATTTATGTTCACCCTGTAAAGATTTAAAATGTGGTTTTACTATTTGGGTATAGGGTATTACAAGTCTATCATTCTAAAGTCTCCAAAGTTCTTTATGAAATGAGCATCACATTAAGGTACGACCGTATGACACCTTACAAGATGGAAATGGGACAGGCTTTATTCAAAAGAACTGGGCTGACAACAATCAGTGCACATGTAGCAGGAACACTGCATTCCCACTAATGGACTAAATAAACATGCAGAAGAATACATCTTCATCTTTTATTTTAGTCTAATTCTGAATAAGGCTGTGGTGACTTGAAACAGGATTTGTAGTATTTTGAAAGGTCTTCAAATGGTCAGCCGATGCCTGTTGAAGCACTGCACGTGGAACTATGGTGGATATAGAAAATATGTATCAAAAAGTTAAAAGCACTAGCAGCCGTGAGAAGGTTTAGTCTGTATTTTCAAAAGATTTACAATCTACCACATCCCAGAAAAGGATGTGTGGTAAATGCAACACGAACCATCTCTATCTTCTTCTCTCGCGTCACTGAAACCTGCCATTCATCATCCCAAGTCGGACCAAGAACAAAAATGGGCGGAGGTTGACATTTCCTGTGGTGTCGGCGACCTTGTCAATTCTCCCGTGTCTCTCTTTTGTCTCATCCCTTCTCTCCACTTTCCCCCATGTCTGGCCCCAGCATTACTAATGATTTCCAGACAGGAAGCAGGGCTCGCATGAGGGAGTAAAGTAATTTTCCCTCCATTGCTTTGTCACTTCTCCTCTGTCACTGCCTTCCATTGAAACTATCGAGCTTAGAAAATGAATGAGATATCCGCACAACGTTTACCATATCAACACTCAAACTTCTGAAGCATGAAAGAAAGAGACTTGAGCATGGGATGTTTTGATTTTAACAATTAGAAGAAAAATAAAGCAGGCACCAACTCCATCCTGTACTCCCTTCTCCACTTCATCCCCTCCTCTCCAACTCTGGCCTGAGTCTGCTTCTGCTCAGTGTCTTTCAGCAATGAATCACTGAAAGGTATTTACAAGGCCACAGGACGTTTAAAACACGTTTGGCCCTGTTAACCCATCAGCACATAAATATGAGTTCTCCTCCCACACATTTACACACCAACGCCTGATCAATATTCATGTAGAAATGTAAAAAAGGGAGTTCACGAGCCCTTCTTTTGGCAGTGGTGTGAGGAGTCAGTGGTCTTTCTTCTTAAACGAATGTCTGATATATCAGGGGATTTTATAAGCGAGAACATGTGTATCTGAAAATATGCAAAGACACGGCCAACAAACAATTTCAGAGCCAAAGCATTTTTGTAATCGGAGTGAGAGGCCAAATTAATCTTGTCTGGAAAATAGCCATCCAAGCTCCCATGTATGTTTGCATTGGATGTTCTTGGCTTCAACAATGCCCAAGACACTACCATCAGTAACATTTCTTCATGCAGAACAAATAGTGTCAGAGCCATAACTACTATTGAAGGATCATTTAAGGGTCTCTAAAGCATTCTTGTTTTTTGGAGCCATGGCATGAGAAAGCCAGTGAGTGGTTTAACCACATTTCATCTGTTCCATGAGAAGAGCTGTCGGCCTGCCATCAACCTCAGTCCCATTATCAACAGTCTGCGCTGCACAGACGTGGACCAAATGCCCAACCTTTCTTCTCTTTCCATCTCCTACTCCCTTTCTGTGCTCTTTTCCTTCCTTCCCCGAGCTTATGGTATTTTCTTTCCCTGTCTGACCTTTAAACCTTTGGCCAGAAAGATTGACATGTGGAACTTTCTGTTATTCCAGTGAGCAATGGGGGGGAAAGCCTTCATGGCTGATGTCCATTCAATTCCATTGTTCTTCTTGACCCAGAGAGTTGAAATCCAGATGGAAAAAAATGCAGCCTTGAGAGCAAATCTGGGCCTTGTCTCCTTCCAACCTTCTTTTCACTCATTTCTGGTTTAAATGTTAAACATCAGTTCAGCTTAGAAGTATAAACTACTGAAGTACTTTCATTGTTCTGAGTTTATTTCAGAACTGTGTTTATGCCTTCATGTAGTCTGTATTTTATTATAAATCCCACTTTTGAATTCTAGTTTGTTTGTCTCACTTTTTCCCTTGTTCAGTTTCACTCCACTCAATTCAGAGCAGCTGAGCCTTATTAGTTTTTTTCCCTTCTGGCAAAGAGGATGTAATGAGTTAGCTAAGAGTTGTGTGGTGGCTTGCCGGGAAACCTTCAGTCCTCCCTTTGATAGAGGAAGCTGTACCATTACGGGATTAATGGAACCGTGCGTTGCCAGGTACAGCTTTTTTTCTTTTGCCTCTTCAAAGCCTCTCACTTTATGTTGCCCCTAGCAATTTAGTTCCTGTTCTGCTCCTGTGAAAAACCCAGCAGCCGACACCACGGTGGGCAGCTTGACTTTGAGAACAAACAGGGCCGCAGAGCAGACAGATAAGAGATTAGGGTTAGAACCGTCTGGTTGCATTCTCAAATGAACTGCTGAAACGGAAAGTGTGAGAAGCAGGAAAAACTACTTTTTCCAAATCAATGTCCTGACAAGCAATTATGAGCTGAATAAACACAAATAAATCCTCATGGTTATTTTAGTTTCTTTCCCCCTCATTTGTTTGTAGACTGCACGACTGCCAGAGGGAAAGAAAAAAAGGGAGGAAAAGAACGAAAGAAAGCTAAACAAAGAGAAAGGGAACAAATAAATGCAACAAAAGTATTTTCCAAACTTCCAACTAAAGTCTTCTCTTTAGAATCGTAATTGTATGCATTCCTCTCATTCAAACCCTTGTCTTTATGTCAGCAATACAAATCAGAGTGCCATGTTTAAAACAGCACACAAAACTATGCACTTCCATATGGGTTGCATCCAAACAATCAACCAACACTGTGTCCAAATGCTTTTAATAAAAAGCAACAAAGTTAGAAATGCTATGTGAATAAATGCTAAACACACCATATGGCACTTAATGTTGAATGCCTTGCAGGTTAACGACGGGCCAGGATAATACGTTTTTTGGCAGAGAAGTGAGGTACCAGCATCAACTGCACTACCACACCCCCTTCCCTATAGCCACTGCTCTTTTCACTGAGCTGTATGCAGATTGGACTGGAAATGATTAAAGGTCTCTCATCTCAAAGCCAAGAGAGCTGTGGGAACAAGACCTGGCAACATATACGTAATATACATACATGAGTTTATGAAGAGGTGGAACAAACATACTCAATCCCAGTTTAACAAACTAGTCAAATAGAAAAAGGCAGATTCTTATCTTCACAAACATAAATCATATAACATATCATCAGCAAACAGTCTGACTTTTGAATCAGGACTTTGTCATCAAAAAGGTCACCTTACAGCACAATTATCTTAAGACTATTCTAAATCTCTTTTTTTTAAAACTCATTTCACCCACTTGTACTCATACTTTCTTCTTATGTCAGAGATAAAGCAGTTACATACCTGTTCTCAGTTGAAGTAAGGCAAAGATAGTTTAAGTGCGAGATGAGCTTGACTCCCAAAAATCCAGTCGAGTGGGGGGATGAGACTGTGAAGTGGCTGCGAGGGCCTATGGGGTAATTGGACTCAGAGCGCGTGCAGCCAAGATCAAGCAGGTGTGCTCTGTCACAACAAGGGGAGGAGAGAGAGGGGGAGAGAGACAGAGGAGTCAGAGGGGAGAGAGATAGAAGGAGGGAGGGTCCGACCGCCAAGCTCCTCTGAGGACAGAAACAATTGGTGGAGAACTTCCCTGGTTCTTGCTGTGTGCTCCAAAAACAGCTGGAAATGGAGAACGAGGGAGAAAAAGAGAGAGAGAGAGAGAGAGAGGGCAGGAGAAGGGAGACAGGGCGAGGGAAAAAGAAGAAAGAAGGAAGGAGCCGAAGAGAAAGAGGCAGAGAGACGGAGTTTAAAGCAATAAGCAGTGATTCGCCTGGCAGCCACCCTCACTGTGACATCTGGTAATGATAGGTCCTGTGTGGAGCTTAGCAGAGAACGCTGCACACAAACTCTTTCTTTCACACTCTGTCATTCATCCTCATTCAACCTCTTTACTGACTACCCCCAGGGGAAAAAACAAAGACAACACACAAACACAAACTTTTTTCAAATCTATTGAGAGTGGCGCTTCCTTCCAGGAAGCCTCAATCTCAGTTTTAACCCCTTTCCCCAAATCCTGATCAGGTGTTCTCTTGGAATGTATTGCCCAAAACAGACAATTAGGCACTTTTGGGGACTTTGTGGGAGGTAGAAGGCTTCATTCTCAGTCCTCTTTTCTTCAACACTATCAACAGAACATTGCTATTGGAAAATGTGCATGGCAACTATTATGGTTAATGTTAGGAAAGATTGTTGTTTTGGTTAATGAGTCTACAACCAAGCTAGCGGCTCTGTGAGGCTGCTCAGTGTTGCTAATGTCAGTATGGTAACATGCTCACAATGACAATGCTAACATGCTGATGTTAACTATTTTAGTTTGTTCCTTTCTAAATACCATGAACAAAGTACATCTGTTGTTGATGAGATTGTCATCAGTTCTGCAGCTATTTAATCAGAAACCAAAGTACTCGACAATTAAACATTGTAATGATAGCCCTAAATGAAAAGTCAGGTAGTATTAAAAGTTATTCAAAATCAGTTGGCCAGGAAATTCTGTACCTATTTTCTTTGGAATCCATCCAATAAATGTACAGACATTTAACTCAAAACCACTAATGCTGATAGTGACAGTAAAAGCATTGTAAGGGGGTTCTAAAAGTATTAGAAATACATCATCTGGGCACCATGGACGTCTGTACCAACTTTTCAAGTCAAGTCAGTAGAAGTTGGTATTGAACCTAAATCCCAAGGTGCGAAAGAAACCAATATGGATGTAATTCATCGGGATATTGCTTTTTAATTATTTTCACTCTTGAATAAGCAGAGTTGCTGGACATTGCACTTGCTGGACTGGTCCTGTCAAGGATGGATATCATCAGAGAAGGTATAGTTTTTGGGGCTTAGTGGGGTCTGTTTTTTAGCCCCAATTGAACCGTCATCCTGTGGAAACTGGAGGAAGTTAAGTGTTAAGAGAGACTGGGTGTTTCTCAATCGCGAGTACGCTTGCTTGGTAGCACATGCCTTCCGAGTCACTTCCTTCATAAGCTAGGCAAGAATCCTTCCTGGTATTCGGAAAACGAAGAGTGGAACAGGCTAGCAAGTGTGCAGGTGTGCGTCATATGAGAGGCCCCGCCTTACATTTTCCGCCACAGATTTAGGGGAAATTGGTCTGTGCGCAAAGCATTGTGGGGATTTTAAGGACGGGAAGTCTACACCATGTGCAGCCTCGAAATTTCCCCCAAACCAAGGACGCGGCCTCGGTGGAATTCCAAGTATGCTGGACATTGGAACAGTCCTGCTGCGCAACTTGATGACGTAGCATCCTTGAAATATTGGCTTGGAAGCCAGTATCCTCGAGATTGAGAAACGGCCACTGTCTCTGAGGCTCTTCAGGGTTATAACACAGCATGTATTTTGCCTACCTGACCATGAGATTCTGGATTATTAATGTCAGAAATCATATATATTAACACATAAAGTGTACTTGATGCTGGAGTATCATTCAAAAATCACTCTAGATGCCTCTTAGTTTATCTGAAAACCAGAGAATGGCCGTTCCTCCAAAACGTACACAGATATCAGATAACAGGAACATTTGCCAACCTAACTATGAGATTTAAGATTGTTAATGTCAGTAATTATATAAGTTAACATATACAGTGTAATTGCTGGTGTTTAGTAGGTGTAGTATCATGCAGAATTCACTCTGCATGTCTCTACGTTTATCCGTTTGTTCCTGAAAAGCAGAATGCTGCCATTTTTAGTTTTTTCGTCTCCAACACCACCAAAATACACTGTGTCGGTTGCTCTCCAGGGAAATAACAGGAGAATTAGCCCACCTGACCATGAGATCTTGGATCATCAATGTCATTAATTATATAGTATGTTAACACAAAGGCATTTCTGGTGTTTAGAAGGTCTGGTATCCTGAGAAAATCACTCTGCATGCCTCTTATGTCATGTGTTGCTGTACCTAAAAAGGCCAATGATAACCCTTGGATTGTCATCGTACCATTTCTGGTGTTTCCGTCTCCAAAACCAAAACACACAGTGTCAGAGAACATCTATCGGGAGTTAATGTCCGCTCTCATATAAAAGCGTATTTGCTAATGCAGTATCATGCTAATATCACTCTGCATGCCGCTCAGTTGATCAGTTTTTCCCTGAAAAGCCGAGTTTTGTCCGTGCCTCCGCTGTCACCTGTTCATTTACTGTGGCGATGGAGGGCATCGGGTATCGATCCGGTTTGTGACTGTGTTAGCTGCTCCGCCGGTGTGTAATAAAGGCCTTCAGGCTATCCTGTCTCTCCCTTCAGTCTCACGAGTGCTTTCCAGGCCTTGTAATCTTAATTAAATATGCAACTTCTGATCGCAACGGGGTCACTGTCTTTCGCATTTAAATGCTGATAGGAAAATCTGAACGCATGTAAAGAATAAGAACAAAGACTTTTTCAATTTCCCTCGTTAGCCTCCTGCTGAATTCCCCCTATAGGTTTTTTTTCTCCTCCAGAAGAATTTTTATGATATTTTCCTCCCCTCCCCTCCCCTCTCTCCTCGCAGTTTTCCCCAGACAGGTTCCTCAGTGTTTTAGAGGGGATGGATTTAATTGCTCTGTGGGGATTGGTTGGCTGTGCCGGGCTCGGCTGTTTAATTAGTGTACCCTGCCGGGATTGGTTTAATGCTTCATGATCTTGAAATTGTCTGATTGTTCAGCCCTCTGGGGACTCTCTCTGCCTACGTAGGCCAGCAGGTTTAGCTAAACATCGCTCCGGGCTGCTGCTGAACGCTTGAGAGGAGGAAGAGGAGGAGGAAGAAGAGGAGGAGGAGGAGGAATTTGGTGCTGGCTGTGGTGTTTGGGGGGTTAACTTATATCACAAAATATCATACATGAGAAGTGGAGGGTGCAGGAACGTTTCTCCTCACATGAAAATAGATCCTATTGATTATTAATGCAGTGCCAATATGTAATCTGTGACTCAGTGTTTCTTTGTGATAAGAAAGCGTGTGATACTTTGCTCTATACGTTTCATCAGTGCTGGAAGTATATTTACTACACTTACTATTTTGACATACTTGTACCTGAGTATTTCCATTGTATGTACTGTTACGTTTGATATGCATTAAGCGGATCAAACCTCTACTGAAAGAGGCCCTTTTAGGCTTTTTGGGGTTTTCCATTTCCTGTAGTGTGTTTGGATTTTGTTGAAGTTGAAACTCCTTCATTGGACTGCTTTGTTTACTTCAGGAACACAATGACATCACTATGTACAAAACAGGCAAGAGTACAAATATGAACCTGAAAATTAGCATTATATGTCCCCTTTAAAATAAACGTCTACTTTACTCTAATATACAATTTGATGTAGGGCTGCTCAATTAATCGTATTTTAATCGCGATTACGATTATGGCTTGCAACGATTACGAAAACAACGTAATCTA